CTCTGCAGAAACAGCAACAAGACCAGAGTTCCCAGAATTTCTAGAGTTTCTGGCAAGATGATTTAAATATCAAGTCCTCCTTTGGCCCTCCTCTCCCTCTCTTTCCTCTCCTCCTCTGAACCTGTGAGACCCACAAAGATGGGAACATTGGAGTGAAGGTCACTTCAATAGGACTAGATCTTATCTTCCTGCTCAGTTTCTTTGTCTTTATTTCGGGGGGCATTGAAGATAATTTTCCCCCCGTAATAGGATGTGAGATACCTCCTGACCCTTTTCTGGAGAGGGTGGATTGGCTATGTAGGACAGAGATAAAATGGGGGAGGGGGAGCCCATAGAAACCTGATCAGGGGAGCCCCCTTTTTGCCACTCACCTATCTTCTCCAGAGTCGCCTTCTTGTAGGACAGGTATCTCTGCAGCCACGCAATGCAGGTCTCCTCCAGGAAGACTTTACTTTCCTGGGACCATCTTGGATCCTCCTCCCACTCCTCCTTGACCTTCCGGGCCAGGGGCTGAGCTGTCACCCACCTGGGGGTCTCCTTGTTGAAGCTGATGAAGTCCATCCCATCATAGCCATAGCGCAAAAACCCTCCTTTGCTCCCGTCTTGCCTGAGCTCACAGCCCAAATTCACCTGCCAGGTATGAAGCCCTAAAAGAGACCCGGAGGAGGTGGAGATGAATGAAAAGGGTGCAGGATTCCTCTCCTTAGAGAATAAATAGAGTTACCTTCTCTTCCCCCCTGGGGAGAGAAACCCAGTTTCCCTTTCTCCTCTTTTTCAGACAAGAGGAAATATCTCTTACTTCAGCTAACCCTGTTTGAGGTCCGGCCATGAAGAATTTCTGGGTGGGAGAGAGAATTGTTTCCTTTCCAGCAGGCATTGATGTCCCTGGTTCTGCTCACCTCCAGCCTCCTGATCCAGTTTTGATAACGTCTCCAGGTCAGCCCTGAAGATCCACTCAGGGATCAGAAACTTCTCCTTCCCTGCCTCCTCCATCCAGGGCACCAGAGGCTCCATCTTCCATGTAAGGCTGTCATAGCGGATGATGGGCTGGTCTTCCAGGTGGACCTTAATGAAGAACCGGTGCAGCCCCTGACTGGGCTCTGAGAGTTTCAGGTAGAAGTAGGACAGGGAGGGTGAGGGAGGGCCTAGAGAAGGAAGGGGAGGAGAAGAGCAGAATTGG